CCGCCGAGAGTCTCCTCCGCCGTCGCGAGCGGCGGCTTCAGAGCCCGGGGAGCGTCCGTGTGTCCGGGGGCAGCCACGTCCGTCCGCCCTCCGGCCCCTCCCTGCCCGCGGCGTCGAGGGCTAAAAACGATGGGCAGCGCCGGCCCGAGGTGGGGGGTGAGGGCTGGCAGCCCACCGGGCCGGGGGCCGGCCCTGCCAGCGAGGTGCGGCGGCGGGGATGGATCCCGAGCGCAATCCCGGCGCCTCTTTTTTTTTTTTTTTTTTTTTTTTTTTGGAGGGGGGGGGGACACACGACACTTTTGGAGTGGACAGTCAGCTCAGGTACTGCGCTCGGGCCTAAAACGCCCGTGGAAATCCCTTCCAGCAAAACTTCACGGCGTAGATTCAGGAGCCGGGCCCTGCGCTAATGCTGTCTGTAAAAAAAAAAAAAAAAAAAAAAAAAAAATCAGAATTTTTTTTCGCTGTACGCAAAGAGACTCGTTTTGTTTTGTTTTGTTTTGTTTTTTTTTTCCACTGGGAATAAAAACAGATCACGATGACCTCGACCTGAAACTTTTAACAACCTGGCAAAGCGCTCGTGGCCTCGCGACGCCGCAGGCCCCGGGCTCGAGCGCCGGGTGGCGAGGTGGTGGAGACCGCCGCCCTTCCCGGGCACCCGCCGTCCTGCCAGGGATAAATACGCTTTGAATCGTGATTATTTTTCCTTTCGAGATGAATCTGTTCGGTCTCCGAACAGCAGAAGGGCGCCGGGGAGCGAGGAATTGCTTCCCAGGCCTATTAAAAGCAAAATCCCAACGCCGGGGCTGCTCTCCGGGCGGGGACGGCGGGACCTGAGCTTGAGGTGCCAAATTCATTTTATGTTTGGGAAAATCCAGGCAGCAAAGTCCCGTAGTGCAATTCCATCTGGTGTAATTCTGAAGGTGGGGGGGGAAAAAAAAAAAAAAAAAAACAAAACGGAGCCAGGGAAAAAAAACCTGAAGTTGGAGGGGACGGGAGGTTAATTACAGAAGCCATTAAGCTGGGATACGGGCGAGCTCGCTGAGCCACCAAATTATTTATTGGGATTTATTGGCGTAGCCGCCGCGCCTCTTATTTCTTTTTGGCTGAGCTGTCTGTACCCATTTTGCCAGCACAGGATCGAATTCTCGGTAACAGATGTGGCTCTTTACTCTGAAGGTATTAAATGCAGCTGGAAGACAAGGCTAGACAGACTGCATTTTAAAAAAAAAAAAAGGGTTATTTAGTGTATGGAACAACTGGCCGAAGGTTGTGATCGAATCTCCTTCGCTAATAAGGCTCAAATGAGGACTGGAAGGGTTGGGGTTTTTTTTTTAAAAAAAAAAGGTAGAGGGTTTATTTCACAGGGGATTTAATTCCGGGAAGTCCCGTGGCTTCAGGGATGTCGGAGGTGAGGGCTGCGGAGGCATCGCCCCCCAGCGTGGCTCGAGCTCAGAGAGGCTCGTCTGAAGAACCGCTTCAGGTGTCTAAATCAGTTGAATTTTGCATTTTTTTAACCGTGCGAAACCTACGAACGATAATCCTGCTCCGTTCTGTAGACATCAGCTCATTTTTAACGCCGCCTTCGGTTCACGCAGTGCAAAAAAAATCTCCATGTTTAAGTTCAGTAAAATTTAAGACATCGGTCCGTCTTGCCTTATCTCTGTGCGCTTCGGCTGGGGCTGGGCCGAGGGTAATGCCAAGGTGCCCTGGTGCAGAAAGTGCTTGAAGTTTGAAAAATAAAAATATCCAAGACCGAGGTGGGGGTGTTTTACATCAACCCTCACGCAGCGGGGGTGACTGAGCGGGCTTGCCTTTGGTTTCCAGAGGTGTTCGCGCAGGGGGGCTGCGTAACCTCCTGGACTTTATGAATCCAAACTGGATTTTCAACAAAAAAACACAAACCAAACCAAAACCCAATTTATTTTTGTAACGGGGGGTATCAGCTGCTGCTGTTGCTTGGCTGAATGGCCAGGTCCTGCTGTGCTGGGCAGCCCGACGCGACGCTCCGCTTCCCCCGTCCATAATGGGGGCTGAGCAGTAGACACATCCCCAAAAGCTCTTTTTTTTAAGTCTTTCCCCACCTCCTCGATGCCTAAATGTAAGTTTAGGAGGAGAATTTTGTGACTCCGAAGGAGTAGGGAAGGCGACAGCCTGGATCTGCTTGTCCACGTGGATGCTTTCTCCAGGTGGAGCCAAGGGGATGGCTTTTTTTTTTTTCCTGGGATTTCTGTTTTTCGTGGCAGCTTCAAGTGCGGGAAGAACCTGCCCACCTAGCAGTGGCTGGGGTCACCGCCTGGATTTTTGCTTATAAAGTGGTTTTTAAAATGCAGACAAACAGAATCCTCCGTACTGTAGAGGATTTTAATATATTTAATTGCTCCCTTCACTGGGCTGTTGGACCTGGATAGACTTTACATATATATGTATGTGTATATATATATGTGTGTGTATATATACATATATTTATATATAAAAATGTTTGTAGTGGGGTCCTGCCTTGCTGGCCGTTAACGTGAGGATTTTGGGGAACTCCTCCTTTCAGGGTGCGACATTTGTCTGTCTGTAATGTTGGTTGGAACTGTCTTTCATCTCCCACACAGAAAAAAATCAGAAATATCCACCCTCCTCCAGTCCCATGGCCGCGTTCCCCTGATTCTCGATCAGAGATACCTTTTGGAGTCCGACAGAGTGATTTTCACAGCGATTTTAGGGATAGGAAATACAGTCGGGTGGGTGTTGGACGTGGTCAGCCTGTTCCTTCCGAGTGCCCGGGGCTGGTGCGTAGCAGCTTTTGGGGTGCAGGCCAGGGGAGGGGGCTGAGGCACTCGGTGATGATCCCACGCACGGGCTGGATCGTGTGAATTCATTAGTTCAAGCTTAAGTAGGCACAGAGATTCAGATTTCAGGTGTTTGGGGAAAACATTAATTTTTAAGAAAAACCAGATGATCTTGTCACCAAATCTTAAAATGTGTTGCAGATGCTTCAGGAAAGGAAGAGTATTTTTTTGATTGTCGGAGTCCTCTGAAGATCTCATTCCTTAACAGGAGTCCCCAAATCCAAGGGTTTCACAGGATCACAGGGTGGTTTGGTGTTTTGAGCCCCCCCAGTGCCACCCCCCGCCCCGGGCAGGGCCCTCTTCCCCCAGCCCAGGGGGCTCCCAGCCCCGTCCAACCTGGCCTTGAACCCTTCCAGGGAGGGGGCAGCCACAGCTGCTCTGGGCACCCTGGGCCAGCGCCTCACCCCCTGCACAGGGAACGATTTCTGCCTTAGATCTCACCTAAATCTCCCCTCTGCCAGTTTAAACCCATCCCCCCTCGTCCTACCCCCACCCCCTGATCCAGAGTCCCCCCCCCACCTCCCCTGTCTCCCCTTTAAGCCCTGGGAGGCCGCTCGAGGGTCTCCCCGGAGCCTTCTCTTCTCCAGGCTGAACCCCCCAACTCTCTCAGCCCGGCCCCCCAGGGGAGCTGCTCCAGCCCCCCCAGCATCTCCGTGGCCTCCTCTGGCCCCGCTCGAGCAGCTCCGGGTCCTTCTGCTGTTGGGGGCCCCGAGCTGGCCCCAGCACTGCAGGGGGGTCTCCCCAGAGCGGAGCAGAGGGGGAGAATCCCCTCCCTGGCCCTGCTGCCCCCCCTGCTCTGGCTGCAGCCCAGGGCACGGGTGGGTTCTGGGCTGCCAGCGCACGGGGCTGCCTCACGGGCAGTTTTCCCCCCACCAACCCCCCCAGTCCCTCTCCTTGGGGCTGCTCTCCAGCCACCCCTCGAGGGCCCAGCCTGGGTTTGTGCTGGGGATCGCCCCGACCCCCGGGCAGGACCTTGCCCTTGGCCTTGTTGAACCCCAGGAGGTTTGCCCGGGCCCCCCTCTCCAGCCTGCCCGGGTCCCTCGGGATGCCCCCCCTGCCCTCAGCGTGTCCCCCACCACTCAGCTGGGGGTCACGGGTGAACTTGCTGAGGGGGCATCGATCCCACTGCCCGTGTCCCCAACAAAGATGTGAAACAGCGCCGGGCCCAGCCCCGACCCCCGAGGAACGGCGCCCGTCACCGCTCTGCACTTGGCCATCGAGCTGCTGACCACCCAGCCAGTTCCTTATCCCCCCGAGTGCTCCATCCCCCCAAACCCACGTCTCTGATTTAGGGACAGGGATGCCGTGCGCGACAGTGCCAAACGTTTCCCCCCAAGCCCGGGTAGAGGCCGTGCAGAAATGCTCCGACGGCGGCCCCGCTCTCCCCGCGTGGGTTTGGGTGGCCCAGCCAAACTTCCCTCCCTCGACCAACTTCATTTTCCCACCCAACCCAGCGCAGTTTCTGCTTCGGCGGGTCTAAAACACCTGCCTGGGGTGGAAAGGATTTCCCCCCCGGTGCTACCCACTGCTCCTCCACCTCGCCCACCGCTCTCCCCGTAGCTTCTGGTCCCACGCGAAGGGTGAAGCCTTCGGCCTCGTACCAGCCAGAGGGGCCATCGTCACCTCTCCGGGGCCGGGCAGACGACAGTCTCCCTCCCTGCTGACTCTCCTCCGAGCTCTTCGGCACGTCCGTCGTCTGCCGCGGGGTCGCCGGGCCCGGCGCGCGCTCCCGCGATTACACATCGTCAGTTCCATCTGCCCGGGGCCTTTATCCAACCCTCTTCTCCCCTTGTCCCTCGCTGGGCTCGCTCCGGTTTTCTTCCTGGGCCCCAGGCTGCAGCAATTAACCACTTTTCCCCCCCCCCCGTCCCCCAAAAAATAAGTCTCTTTGGTCGCTCTTTGCCGCGAGGGCAGATCCGCTCTGGAGTCCGCGCTCCCGCGGGGGCCGAGGCCGTGGGCACCCCCCGCCGCCGTCGGGTCTGTGCTGGAAGCTGATCCGGGTGGGTGGCACGGCCCCCCGGCGCCTTCGTTAGCCAACCCCCCCCCCTCCCTCCCTCCCCGGGGTGGGGGGGGGGTGTGTTTTAGGGGAGGAGGGTGCGTTTGCATCTGGCAGAGCCACGGGCTTTCCCTTCGGGGCCTGACCGCACGGCGCTCTGCCTCCAGGTCCACGCCTGGGAGATCTCCGACCAGCTGCTCCAGATCCGGCAGGATGTGGAGTCGTGCTACTTCGCGGCGCAGACCATGAAGATGAAGATACAGACTTCCTTCTACGAACTCCCCACGGATTCCCACGCTTCGTTGCGGGACTCTTTGCTGTCCCACATCCAGAACTTGAAGGACCTGTCGCCGGTCATCGTCACCCAGGTAGGGGCCGGGCGGAGGGGTGGCGGGAGCTGCTCCCCGAATCTCGGCGAGGCGGGGAGGGCCGAGGCTGCTCTCGGCAGAAAAGCCTGGCCCGTTTAGTCCCGACTTGCCGTTGAGAGCGGGCTGGTAGCCCAGCTCCTGTCACAGCCCTGCCAGCACCGTTCCTTGCCGTGGTGGCCAGCCTGGGGGAGGAGGAACGGGTGCCGCAGGTCGCACCGGCGGTGGCCCGCTCCAGCTTTTCTCACTTCAGAGGCAAAGCCCTGGGTCACCCTCGCTTGCTTTTCCTCCTCAAAGGAGGACAGAGAAGGCTGATGCCTGCAGCCAGCCCGCTCGCCTCCCGCAGCGCAGAACTGTTTGCCCCTCCTCCGTGATTTGGTCCTTTTAGTTAAACCAAGCGCTCTGTCCCCTCCCGTTTGGAGAGGCTGGGAGGAGGAGCAGCTCTTCCTGGGGTTTTTCCGCGCTCTCTGCCACGGGGACGGAGCGTTGCTCTGCCCCGCAGCGCCCCGGCTGGCATCTCCCGATGGCGCTGGCGTCTGCTCAGAAACCCCCTTCGTTCCCCACACAGCGTTCCCGTCCGCCGCGGCGCAGGGGCTGCCCGACGCCGCCCCCGCTGAGCCGAGGTTCCCCCCTTCAGCCCCGAAATAACCCCCGCAGAGAAAACCACCCCGGCGGGGGCGCTGGCCCTTCTGCGTTCACCCCCGGGACCCCGCACACTGCAGGGATATTGTGAATTAATAGCCTGCTCCTGCAGGCCCAGAATTACCTGCCGGCCCTGCCGAGCTCGGCGGCGCCCTTTCCCCCCTGCCGTCGGGCACGTTTCATCAATCACCGCCCTTAGCTGTGTTGGTTTTGTGTGTTTTTATTTTGTTTTGTTTTGTTTTTTTTTCTCCTCTCCCCCCTTCCAGCTTGCTTTAGCAATAGCAGACCTTGCCCTGCAAATGGCTTCTTGGAAGGGCTGCGTACAAACACTGGTGGAAAAGTAAGTGACTGTTTCTGTCCTTAAACTCGAAATGGCTCCTTGTGTAAACGTTGAGCGGGTGGACCTGCGCCGTCCAAAAAGGGGCGCGGCGGCTAAGCGCCCCGGTGACAGGGAAGTTGTTTCTCCTGTAGATTAATACTTCAAAGCCTTTTGGCTCCTGGCAGGGCTGGAGGGAGAGGCCTGTGGCTCTGCCCAGCTCTGCGCACGCTCCCCTGGACGCGGCTCGGGAGGCTCAGCGATTCCCCTCGTCCCTGTTTTTGTCCCGGGATGAACCCCCCCCCCCCCTTCCCCACCCCACCCCTCCCCACCCCTCCCCACCCCTCCCCACCCCTCCCCACCCCACGTCCCAGCGTCAGCGCGGGATCGAGCCGCGCGGAGCGTGGCCCCCTCCCCGCAGTGCCCCTCCACCTCTCGCCCTGCCGGGGACCTCCCCGCCGGCGCTTGGCCTGTCCCTTCACGCGCTCTCCTTCCTCCCCCCCCCGCCGTTTCAGGTACAGCAACGATGTCACGTCGCTGCCCTTTCTGCTGGAGATCCTCACGGTGCTGCCAGAAGAGGTTCACAGCCGATCCTTGCGCATCGGAGCCAACCGCCGCACCGAAATCATAGAAGACCTGGCGTACTACTCCAGCACGGTCATCTCCCTGCTGGTAAGGACACCGAGCAGCCACCGGGCCCTGCTCAACTGCTAAAGAATTTCACGCAGCTTCTTCCTCCCCTCCGCGTCCCGCCCCCCGGGTCGCGTTAACCCGGGTTGGATCTGATCAAAAAAAAAAAAAAAAAAACCCGGTCTGCGTGAAACAAGCTGGTTTTGTGTACGTTCCAGTTCCAAGCGGGTCGAAACCACAGTCAGGTGCCTGTTGTCGGCGCTGGATTGAAAACGGAGCTAAAAATGGCAACGTAGCAGCTTCCTCCTCCTCCGGCTGGGCTGTCCACGTGAGGAGACTGTGTTCTTTTAGCTGGCGGTACGGAGCGCGGAGGCTTCTTCTGGCTCTTTTTTACTTCAAGTTCAGGAAAATGTGTTTAATCTCCCGGACCGTCGGTCCCGCAGTTGGCTAGGACTGCGTTCCTGCGCAGGCGGCGGTGGTTGCGGTTTATTTGAGGGTGAAGAAATGATTTCAGCCCGTTACGGGCCGTGCGTGTGTGGATCTCTAGAGCATCCCTAGATTGACACGCGTGCGCCTCTCTGTATCTCTTGGAAGAAAGGCGTTCGGGTGCTCAGAGCCTGTGATTCCTCTCTCTTCTCGTGCCCCTTGCAAGCGTCGGCCCAGGCCTAGCTTCTGCCCGGCGTGTGACAAGGTGAGGTTCCGCATTTAGCCGCAGGTCACGTTTAGTTTTGGCCAAAGGGGGAGCCTGAACCTGAATCTCCTGGCTCTTCTTCCAAAGTTTCCCCCGCTTGGGGAGCATTCACCCTAAGAACGGGATCGCTGTGACCCCCAAAGCAGGGTGAGTTTGGGGAGCGGAGGAGCGTTGAGGTGAAACTGCTCCCGGGACTGAAAACAAACGCTCCTCGCCGGCTCCTTCCTTTCCGGGGAGGCTTCTCACCTTCCCCCCCGCGTCGCGTCTGAGCCCGGCAAACGAGCGGCCCCCCCGGCCCCCCCCCAGCCTCAGGCCTCGAAGGGAGCGTGCCACCGTTTCGCTCTGCTTCTCCAGAGAAGGAGGGGGAGAGCGCTGGTGCCGGCCCGGCTCTCCTTCCACCGAGCAGCTGGTCCGGCTGGACCCCTTTAATTGCGGCCTTTAATTGCGGCCCCTCGTCAGCGGTCGTTTCCCCGCTCCTCGGCCCCCCCCTTCCCGTGCTGGGGGCTCCCTGTTTCTCTCCCGGCCGCCTCCCTCCCGCCGCTCCTTTCTCAATTCAGCCGTGGCTCTTGGAGACGGGAGGAACTTTGGATCCTTCATACTTTATCCACGTGAAAGCAGCCGCGTTTCGCCGCGCTTTTTTTTTTTACGCCGTTTCTCCGAATTGCAGAATCGCGGGCTCCCTTGGCCCTCGGGCTGTCGGTTAGATTTCCTTCTCATCGACGAGCAAAACCGGAGGGCTTTGGTTTTCCCTGTGACCGCGTTCTCTTCTCCCCAACCCATCCTTTTTCATGTCTTTTCCAGCTCCAGGGTGCAGCATCTCCGCTCCTCCCCGGCACTGTGCTGCGCAGAAATGAGCGGAGGGCTCTGGGTGGGGAGAAGGGGGCGATGCCCTCCCTGGGATTTGAGTCATTTATCCCCTCCTGCCCCTCAGGTCTCCCCTCCCCGATACCCCTTCCCTCTCTGAATCCCCTTCTCTGACGGCGCCCGCCACAAACTCAACCCCCCCAGCAGTTTTCTTTTGTTTAATTTGGAAAAAACGGCGGAGTGGAGGTAGGCAGGGCTCGGTTTCAGCTGGCCTGAAACCTTCGCAGAAGGTCCCCGTTCTGTTTCCGCGCTGCTTTTTGTGGGGGGGGGGGTCTGTGGTTAAGCAAGCTGCAGAGAGTATCTGGGATAGAGATACGAGCGTGGCAGACACTGCTGGTGGCTGTTCCGTGTTTGTGGGGTGTCTGGTTTTGGCTTTCCCCCTGGAGGCCCGGGAAGGAGGATTCATTTTCCGGAGTTCCTCCGGTAGCTCTGAAGGAAGGGGGATCGTGACGATCAAGGATCATCACAGAATCACTGGGGTTGGAAAAGACCTTTAAGATCACCGAGTCCAACCGTTAACCCAACGCTGCCAAGCCCACCATTAAACCGTGCCCCTAAGTGCCATGTCTACACGTCTTTTAAACACCTCCGGGGGTGGTGAGTCAACCCCCGCCCTGGGCAGCCCATGCCAGCGCTTGACAACCCTTCCAGTCAAGAAATTTTTCCTAATACCCAATCTAAACCTCCCCTGGCGTGGCTGGAGGCCGTTTCCTCTCGTCTTGTGTATCAAGGCACAGCGTTGAGCGACGTCCTCCGCTCAACAGCAGCTCAAGTCTCCCTTGAGAAGACTCTTCCCCCCCCCCCCGTCCTTAAGCCGTGCTCGCCCCACGGGAGGTCCAGGCCGTTGCCACCGCGGCCATTCGGGGAGCCCAGTTCCACATTTTCCCTAGGTTTAGTTGCCTTCGAGCGAGTCCTCGCTCACTCCTGAAACTTTTCACCTCCCCGGAGCCCCCGCGCCGTGCCGTCCCCCCGAGCCCCCCCCCAGCCCTCGCCGCTCTTCCTGGGACATCTCGGAGTGAGGCTGGCCGGGCGCTGGATCGCCAAGGGTCGACGTTCTCTTCAGACTGCCTCTGCCTCCGCCTGGAGCTTTTGTGGTGCATCCCAGCCACGGGGGTTTCAGCCACCTGCCTGAAGGGCGGAATTAAATTTTCTGGGTAGGCTTACAGACGCTAAATTCACTTCCTTGAGTGGCAGGGTTTTCAGGCGTCGTGCAGGGACTGTGATGCAGTCCGGCGTTCCGCCTTGGGGGTTGAAGCGTCGAGCGAGGATCTCTGGAAGCTCTCCCGTGCGGGATTGCTTGTCCAGTCTGGGCTCTTTTCTGGGGAGAAGGGAGCCTGGGACAGGTCCTGCCTGTCCACCTATTCTCCCTTCCCCTCAGCCTGCCAAGGTCAGGGCTTCCTTTGGTGCCAGGTTTTGGGCAGGGCTGCGGCGAGGTGCTGTTGCAGCGCTGGCCGTCGCTGGAAACGAGGGCTGGCTCTGCCGGCCCCGCGTCCCGTCTCTGACACCTCGATGGGGTCTTCAGGGGGGTCCCCGGGTTGGCCCCGGGGGGTCGGTCTGCCCCTCGGGACGTGGTGGGTGGTGGGGCAGGTTAGATTGAGATTGGAGCGAGCGCCGGGACTCCGTCGCGTGTGAAACTCAATTTGTGTCTGTGCTCCGTCGGTCTGAGGCGGGACCCTGCGGAAAACTGATGGGCTGGGAAGGGGTGCGAACAGTCAGACTGCTTTCCTCACTCCTCTAAGAGCAGCCGAGAGGTTTTGGGGCTCTGCCTTTACATCTCACCAAGGCCAGGGCTGCTTTAGGCGGGGACGGGGATGCTGGAAGCAATCTGCTTCCTTGAACGTGCTTGGGGGGGGGGCTTGGGGAGGGTCCTCGAAGCCCACGTGCTGTGGGGAGGATGTTTGCAGGGCGCTGCTTCCGCGTCGGTCCAACGCTGGTGCTTGATGGCTGGGATTTGTGTGTGCCTCCTTGGGGGGGGGGGTCACTGCTGGCTGTCCCAGCCTCCCCCCCCCCCCCCCAACATCGCCCTGAGCGTCACGGGGCAGCTCTCGACGCTGATTGTAGAGACTGCAGGATGGCTTTCCCCAAATCATTTATGACTTTGCTTGCAGAATGATGCATTGGGGTCAGGGGGGTCCTAAGCCGGTTCTTCCCTGTCCCCTCCCCTAGATGACGTGCGTGGAGAAAGCAGGCAACGATGAGAAGATGCTCATCAAAATCTTCCGGTGCTTGGGGAGCTGGTTCAACCTGGGCGTCCTGGACAGCACCTTCATGGCCAACAGCAAGTTACTGTCCCTCCTCTTCGAGGTGCTGGTGAGTATTTTGCCTGACGTGATCACCTTCCTTTTGCACCGGTTCTCCTCCTCCTCGGACGGGCGGCGAGCAGCCGCAGGCAGCAGGAGCTCCCACCCGTCTCCCCCACCTCCTGCTACCCCCGGGAAGCTTCGGCGGCGGCACCTAACGCCGAATACCGGCTAATTTCTGGAGGGGTGACCCCAGCAGCACTTTGGAGGGTTTCCTCTGCCCCGGGGGCTTGGTGCTCAGGTCGGGGTTTGGGCTGTGGGGACAGAAAGCGTTGGCGGAGTTGGCCGAAGCCAAGAAAGAAGCGGGTGGGTGTCGGGCTGCTTGCGCGGAGGATGGGCTTTGCAGCAGGGTTATTCTTTCCTGCCCTCCTGTTTTTTGGCCCGGAGGGTGCGTGCTCCGAGGAGAGCGCACCGTTCCCCGTCCTCGGGCGGGGTGAAAGGCTCCGAAACCTCTCCCCGAGCCCCTTCCCAGCCGCCTGGCTCAGCTCTCCCCATGACAGCTTTTTTCCCCTTCGCTCGGGGCCGTGTCCCGGGCGGAGGTGCCGGGTGGCGGGGACCCTCTGCTGCGCTGCCACCCGCGACCCTTTCGTCTCCACAAAGCCGCCGCTACGCCCGCCGGCGGACGCTGCACCGACCAAAAAAAGTTCAGAGACCATTCAGTCTTCTGTTTACCTCCCTTCTCCTTACGCCTCCCGTACTACTCATCAGTTTTGGAGCCTGCATGAAGCGGGTATCTTGCCTATCTCAAGCCAGGTTCCATTTCTCCCTGCGAAATATTCAGAGCAGAGCAGACGTAACGCCCGAGGAACGGCCGTTTCTAGCCATTTCTGCCAGAGGTGCCGGCTGAACTTCCGAGCATTCTTAGATTTTAAAAGGCAGTTTTGGTCAGAAACACGCCGTGCTTGGTCCTTGCCCTTTACAGGGCTCAGAGCAAAACACATTTGCTCGGTGCGTCGCTGAAAGAAGCTTGCCAAACTCAAGGGTTCAAGTATTGGGTAGTTTTGGCTTTAGGAGTTGCCTGTTGTTGAAAAAACTGCCTTTGCTTAATACTAAACCCAGTATTTTTGGGGGTGTATTTTGATTTCTTTCCAATAAAATAACACTTTATTTCTTTCCTGGCGCTTTCACCTTGGAAAATGAACTACTAAAGGTGTTTGGGGGTTTTTTGGGTTTTTTTTTTTTTTTTTTTTCCCTGTCTGAATGTGGGAGAGCCGAAGAGGCCGGTGGAACGGGGAGCTCCGGAGAACTGTTAGACAGGATCCCTCGTTCGCGGCTGTTCCGCGGTGCAAATTCCCTCAATGACAAACGCAGACGAGGGCCCCCGCTCGGGGAGGGGGGGGGGGAAGGAATAGACAATATTCAGGCAGGGACCCAGCTCCCGAGGAGGGGGGGGGCTGCAGCAGGAACCCCTCTCCCCCAGGACAGCCCTCACCCGCCTTTTTATTCTGTTCGGGTCACTTGTAAAAGGGACATTTTTCCTTCCCCCCCTTCCACCTTCCTGCGGGGCTGGGGGTAGTTTTCCACATGGGTGGAGACGGAGTTACGGCTCCTTTGTCTCCCCTCCGCCCTTCGCTCTCTGCGCTCCCCCCCCTCGTTAGCACGCCAGTCTCATCTCCCCCCTTAATTGCTGGGGGGCTCCACGGGAGCCGTTAAATCAGAGCCCCGCGCAACCGCTATAAACCTCTGCCAGGCGGGACCTGAAATCCGCTTGTTCAGCCCCAAGACGGGCGCGAGGATAAACCTCTCACACGCGCGTGGGGGGAAACCCCGTCTCCCATCACGCCCCGAGGGCTCGATGACCCTCGACGGGTCCCTTCCACCAGGAGACCCCCTGCCACCCCGCCGGGGCGACGACCAGCACAACTTTTTGTTTCCTTCTGAATCGGCGTGGGTTTTGCTTGATCTTTTTCCTCGGTTGACACTTTTCCTCCTGGGTTTGCCTCTCCCGCTGCGGAGGGTCGGTTCAGCGGGGGTAAAGCGGCACCAGCTTTGCAGGGCTGGTAGGGGTGGGTTGTTTGGGGGGGGGGGGGCTGCGTCCCTGCAGCAGCTCTACAAAGCACTTCAGGGACAGCCAGAGCCTGTTTTCCCCGTCGCCGCCTCCTTCCGCGCACAGTCACCGGGCTCTGCTTCTCGTTTCTCGCAGCAACAAGACAAGACGTCATCCAACCTCCACGAAGCCGCGTCCGACTGCGTGTGCTCAGCCCTCTACGCCATCGAGAACGTGGAGACGAACCTCCCCTTGGCCCTGCAGCTCTTCCAGGGCGTCCTCACCCTCGAGAGTGCCTACCACATGGCTGTCGCACGCGAGGACCTCGACAAGTAAGTGACCCCGCGCCCGGAGAGCAGGGGCAGGTGCAGCGATGACCCCCGCTCCGGTGGCTGCCCGCGGTTATTTTTTGGGATCGGCGGTGTTCGCGTGCAGCGCTCGGAGGTCTCCGGTGCTGACAGGTATTTGCTGAACGACTTCCACGCACGGGTTTGTGCCCCGAGGCGGCTGCGCTCAGCCCGGGCTTTGGCAGGGGGTTTGGCTGTCACCAGGCCCGGCTTGCCGGGACGTTTGGTGTTCCCCCCGCGCTGGGCAAAGGGCGAGGGAGACGTCCCGAGGTGCAGCTGCTGCGTTACCAGGCCTTAAAATGTAGAAGCGACCTCTTCCTCCCACTGCCTCCTCTCTACAACTGTCCGTACCTGTGTGGAGGTTTAGGCCTGGTTGGCAGCCAACCACCACGCAGCAGCTCTCTCTCCCTTCCCCTCCGGCAATGAGAAGGGACAGAGAGCCAGGCTTGGGGTTCCAGATAGGACTGGGATGGGGAAAAATCCCCCTTTATGGTCACGAGCAAAAGGCAGACTCGTTAGGGGAAGAAAAAAAGAACATACATTTATTACAGACACTAACAACACACAACAGAGTAGGACAGTGAGAAGCATTGCCACATCTTGAGAACACCTTCCCCCCACCCCTCCCTTCTTCCTGGGCTCAGCTCTGCTCCCGATATCTCTACCTCCTCCCCCAGGGGTGCAGGGGCAGGGAATGGGGGGTGCAGGCAGTGCTGCCACTTCCCTTATCTTCAGTGAGGGGAGTGTCCGGAACTTGTTCCCCCTGCTCCATCGTGGTCCCCCTCTCACAGGAGACAGTCCTCCACAAACTTTCTCCGACATGAGTCCCTCCCACGGGCCGCAGCGTTCCCCACACTGCTCCGTCATGGGTCACTAACTTCCTCCGACTGGATTCCCTCCCACGGCTGCAGCCCTTCCCGAGCTGCTCCGGCGTGGGACTCCCCCGCATGCTGCAATCCTCCCAGCGCTGAATTACAGCAGCGGGGCTGCCTTTTCCCACGAGACCCCGGCCTTCTTCAGGCACAGCACCTTGATCAGCTGAGCAGGAGCAACAGGCCATAAATCAATGTCTGCTCCACCGTAGATCTTCATGGGTGGCAGGGGGGGTCCGCCCTGCCGTCTCCCCACAGGATACAGGGGGGTCTCTGCTCCGGCACACCTCCCCCCTCCTTTCTTCCTCCGTTCCTCCACTGCCCTTGGTGTTCACGCAGCTGCAGCAACTCCTCCTCACAAGTCCCCCTGCTCGTCACCACGTCCCTTCTTAAATACGTTATCGCAGAGGCGCAGCCGATTGGCTCAATTTCCCAAACAGAACTGGAGCTGACGTGGAGCTGGGGGAGCTTCAAGAAGCTTCTCCCAGGGGGCCGCCCCGATAGCCCCCTCCCCTGCCACCAAAAAACTCCACCACTCACTCACCCCAGGACAACCTGGCTCGGTTATTCCCCGTGGAAAGAGGATGGGATGTGCCAGCTGGCTCGGTGGCCCCTTATCCCTGACTTGGGAGAAGCTCTGGCCTTCATACCTTGCTCAAGCGCCTTGAAACCAGCGTTTCACGCTCGTTGGCTGCTCCGAAACGTTGCTGCTCTGGTTGGAGACCCCCTGATCAACCCGCGGTTGGTTCCAGGCCAGTTCCTGCCTCTTCTCTTCGGCCAGAGCTGTCTTGACTCGAGCAGCTCCCCAGCTGGTGCTTGTTCCTGGAGCCATTTGTAGGTAGGAAGCAGCCAGCCTCAAGTTTGCTTAAGCAAGCCCGGCTCTTCCAGTCCTGAGGCATTTTTCTTTTTCCTGGGAAATCTCGAGCGCTCCCGTGCTGAATTTACCTTCCTGGAGCGCGGGGGCCCCGCGAGGTACACGCTGCTCCAGGAGGGATCTCGCTCCCGGGCGTCCCCGGGTGCCCTCACCTCTCTGCTCGCCTGGCAGTGGGGGGGTTTCGGTCGCCCTGCGACCGATGAGTCCGTCCACAGGTTGTCAGAAGCCGGCAGTTTTTCCCACCCAACCAAATCCAGAGGGGTTTTTCATTCTTCTGCGCAGGGATCGCATCCCGGCTTTATCAGCCAACGCCGTTAGCGCTCGCTCTTCCCATTTTTTTTTTTATTTTTTTGTTTTTTTTAAACGTGGCTGTGGCTAACGAACGTAGACGAGCTCGGTTGTGAGGTTGACCTGGAACCTCCTTAGCACCGAACCGGTATTTGCCCCTCAGCCTGGCCCGCCAGCCCCCCGCCCAGCCCTCCCCACAGCTGCTCTTCACCCCGTCCAACCAGCTTCCCCGCCCCGCCGCGGTCCCTGCTCCGTTCCTCTTACTTTAACCCGCGACCGACACGAATTAGCTGGGTCCGATCTGTTCCTGGTAACCCCGCCGCCCCCTTGCCAGCTCCCTCCACCCCTTTGGGAAAATTCCGTCAGGACTTACTGGCCCTACCGAGGGCAGGTGAATTGCCCTGTGGTTGCCAGATGGGTGGCTCTGCGAGGTGTTGCCCCCGATGGGGCTGGGGGGGGGCGAAGCTGTAGGATGGGGAGGGGGGGGGGGCCCGCTGCCTGATTTTCGCCCCTTGGGGTGGCGGTTAGCCAGGCCCCTCAGCGCCTCGCTCCCCCCTGCTCAGCCGCAGCCCTTCAAAATTCGGCGCGCGGCGATTCCGCCGGCTGTTTGTTACAGCTGGGAAAAAAAAAACAAAACACTCCCCCCCCCAAAAAAAAACAAAACAAAACAAAAAACAAACAAACAAAAAAAAAAACAACAAAAAAAACCCCAAATCCCGCGCTGGTTTTCGTGACTGACCTCGGCAGGGCCTGGCGCTGGTTTTGGCGATTCTCGCTTCCCCTCCGCGCGTCTCGCCGTGCAAAACCCAGCTCTCTGCCTTCCCCCCCTCCGCCCGGACAGCCCCTGGGCTGCCGCCGCTCAGGCTTTTCAGATGACTTGGGTTCCAGAACTCTACAAGCATCCCCCCCCCCACCGCCCCCAGCAACGTTTCAGCTCGGGGTGCAAACCCCTGGTAACGTATGTGCCTTCGATTTAAGGAATTTCCGAGCCTCTGCCGGCGTTTCCACAGGCAAAATGAGGGGTTACTCCTCAACGCTAGCCCTCCTGAAAGCCAAAGTGAGAGCAGCATCCGTTCCTGCTTACCCTTCCACTGAGCGCCAGTAGAGTCAGTCTCCAGTTGGCAGGCGTGTAAAAGTGTGTTACAAAACCCTCCCCGCTCGGTCAGACCAGCTCTGCAGCAGCATCCCTCCGCCCTGTGGCTTTTGAAAAGCTGTGAAAGCTTTCCTCGGCCGGGGCCGGTGTGGCGCGGTGGAATTGGCAGCGTCTGCTCCTCGGGCTCTCTCGGAGAAGGCAGGCTCCCCTGCTCGCTCCCAGGGATCGGGCAGGGGCCCTGCTGTCCCGGGGATACGCGGGTTGTGTGAAGGCTGAAGCCTGCGGGGGATTAAAAACTAAAAAATCCTCACGTGGGGGACTCGCCTCTGTCTCTAAGTCAGGCTTTCGGGGGCGTTGGCAGCCCATCTCTGGGTGCGTGTTGCTTTGGGATTTCCTAAACCACTCCAGAAGGGGAATACTGAAACCAAAGCCCAGGACTAACGGATTATTTTGGGCCTCTCCCCCACATCCCTCGTTTGAGGTCGGTGTACGGGTGAGGAGCGGTCCCGTGCTGTGCCTCCGGGACGTTCGCTTTTCTCGCCGGTTCCGCAGCCTTTCAGCAGAGCAGAGCTCCAGCTCGGCCACTAAATTCCACGTGGCTTCAGAGCAGCTGCGTTCTTCCGCAGCGCCGTCCTCGGCCTAGGCAGTGGGACACCCTGGGGTTCTTTTTAAAGTCAGTTTGTAGATTTATCTCCTGAAACGCGGCACCTTCCGGGTGCTGAATTAGACCCCGGCTGGTCTGCGGCCGGCGCCCCATGCCTCGGCGCCCCGTGCTGTGGTTTTGGGGAAGTTTTACTCAGATGCTGTGGGTCTTACGAAAATTTCATAAGATTTGCTTATTGGAACTCAGTGCTTTCACCTGCTTCTGAACCAAGTTCCCCTATTGAAGTGTTTCCCAACTGCTGACGGAAAGCTGAAGCAGAAGTTGGTATTTCTTGAGCTGAGACGAGGCTCCGGGGTGCTTTACCTCCACAGACCAAATTTCTCCGGCGCCGGGACGTCCGATCCCGTGCGGAAGAGCTTTCTGACTTGTGCCCTGTGTTTTTTTTTCCTTCACCAGGGTGCTCAATTACTGCCGTGTTTTCACCGAGCTGTGCGAGACGTTCCTAGATAAAATCGTTTGCACGCCAGGCCAAGGGCTGGGCGACCTGCGGACGCTGGAGCTGCTGCTGATATGTGCAGGTCACCCGCAGTACGAGGTGAGTGAGGTTGGACCCGCCTTTCTCTCCTCGCCCCTACCGCCAAATCTCACTCAGCCAGAGTTGAGTCAGGGGTAAAAAAAACCTTTCTCTGACGCTGCCACGTGCTGGGGAGGCTTCAGTTCCCCCGAGCTGCTGGCCTTGAAACGCCTGCTCTGCGTTTGTGATGCAGAAACTTGGCTTCGCTTCCCTTTCCCGGCCTCCTGGATGTGTGGGACTGCAAGTACAGCTCGAAAAACCTCCGTTATTTTCTTTCCAGCTTAAGTTAAGCTTGGCAGGGGTTGCGGTGTAACTTTGCCCTCTTAAATCAGTGAAATGCTGGTTTGCATCACAGCTCCCCGGCCTTAAATGCAGAATATAGTTAAGATGCTGTCGTGGTTTGAGCCCAGGGGGCAACTGAGCACCACGCAGCTTCTCGTTCACCCCTTTCCCCCCGGTGCTGGAAGGAGAAAATGAAGCAAAGTGTTCCAGAATTGAGATAAGGACAGGGAGGGGTGGCTCACCTGTTATGGTCACGGGCAAAAGCCTGACTCGTTAGGGGAAGAAAAAAACCCACCACTTTAATTCAAACACTAACAAAGCCAACACTTAACAGGCAGGGTGGGACGGTGAGAAGCGCCACCACATCCAAAACCACCTTCCCCCCCCCCACACCTTCTCCCCGGGCTCAGCTCTGCTCCCCATCTCTCCCTCCTCCCCCAGCAGCGCAGGGGGCAGGGAGTGGGGGATGTGGTCAGTCCTGTCGCTCCTTCCTTCTCGAGAGGGTGGGAGGGAACACTTTGCATCCCTCCCCTGCTCCCCGGGGCTCCCCTCTCACTGCAGACCGTCCTCCACGAACCTTCCCCGGCGCGAGTCCTCCCCCCGGGCTGCAGATGCTCCGGCGTGGGTCCCCCCCCCCCCCCCGGCATGTTGCAGCCCTCCCAGCGCCGAGCCCCAACAGCGGGGGCTGCTTCTTCCCTCAGAGTCCCGGCCTCCTTTGGGCGCAGCCGCCTGTCCCTGGTGTGGGCTCCTCCAAAGCCGCGGGTCGGCC